CTTGTGTGGGTTGTACATGAAACCACTTGGTAACCAATACTATTTTTATTTTTTATTTGTGATGTTGTGCCCAGCATTCTCCTGTCCTGTGCTCTGAAATCAAAATGTGGATAAGAATAAAACAACACTAAAATAAACGCTACAATACAACTTGTAAAACTTTTGAAAAAACACAAGGTTGTTCATTTGTGTCTATACATATACAACACAGGCAATATACATATATATATACAATTATAATTAATACAACTGTTAATTTGATTAGAGCTTTGACACATATCTTTATTGATATATGTATAAATATGACGTCTTAATATATAGTCGGCCTAATCGCAAACAGCTACATTCAACTCTTTTAATGGTATATTGCAAGTGCAATAAGAAGCTACAGGAACGTTAATCTACGTCGGTAATATTAACTTTATTTAATACAACATTTACGGTACAAGGTTTACATCATAGAGCCCATGAAGTATAATATTTTACAAATGATGAATTACAGCAAACATGTGCAATATATCCATTATTACAGCTCCGTGGGCTGGCAGTGAGGCGATATGGTCCGTTGTTATTGTGCATCCATGGGTAAAGAGAAACTCATGTACTGAACACGTAACATGAACGTGCCGGGCAGCGCGGTTCCGTGGGTTAGATGCGCGTTCATAATGCCGAGGGAAATAACTCTCAGAATAACGTTATTAGCACATTTTACAACTTGACCGTAGTGTCGTGTCAGGTGGGCGTGTAGTGTTGTGTATTGTCCGCGGCCGCAGCTAGACCATATTGGCTTTGATGGCAAACACTGTCCTGCCTTCTAGTGGGTTGCCAGGTTTGCGCACATGGCGCTATAATCAAGTTTTTCGAAAAAACTAAACGTAATATCTCACTACAAAAACAAACGCAAATATTTAATTTTAAACAGTCAAGTCCTTTCAAGTCATCTGTCTCAAGCTTAAGTCAAGTCTCAAGTCATGAATACCAAGTCAAAGTCAAGTCTTTTATCAATGTTAGTCAAGCAAGTCTCAAGTCCAAAAATATGCGACTCGAGTCAAGTCATGTGACTCGAGTCCCCACCTCTGGATAGCAGCAATACCCAAGGCCGTAGACCTATGCCGTGGGAAAGGAGACAGTGAGAGGAGAAAATTATGAACTGTGTCAAAGGTTGAATACCTAAGCAAATTATTCCCCAACAGTATTTTTTGCTACGTATTCTTCTTTCTGTGTCTTTGAACGCACCATTTGAACCAAAGCAAACTCCTCGTAAGTGTAAACGTACTTGGTGACAAAACCAATTCTGATTCTGGTCATCAAACCGATTTAACAACTTTACATTTAATACATTTCCTACCTAAGTATAACTTGTGTGTGTTTCTCTGTATAAACGTTTAAATACTCGGTACACGGGGCGATCAGTTCGCCTCAGAATAAATATACACATTCTCAGAAAGTCGGTCCATCACGGCACTAATCAAACGTCTCTAACAGCTCTATGAATAACTTGCCCATACAAAGTAATTTGGGCGCTCGGAGGATCTATTTTAACCGACGAGGAGGAAGACATGTCTAATCCTGGAGCTCACATTTACGTCTGGTTTTTATTCAGACTTCAAAAAGACTGGGGAACCGTTTGCTCCCTTTTTGTCAAGAAAGCATCACATATAACGTTGTGTGTTTTTTAGAGAATATTGGAGATGTTTGTGATAAATGAAGGCTTTAAGTGACAGAAACTAGGGCATGTCTACCTCCCTGCATGATTTAATAATATATTAATATGATTAAACTGCTTTTGTTGGAGCATAACCCGACCTGTATAATATGAAAAACTCTCCAGAGGGAAACGTACCTGAGAAGATCATCGACATCTTGGGCGATAAGATGGGAAAGGGCATTTCACTGTGGGGAGAACATTTCAGTTTGTTAATATAATGAAAACATCGACATATTATATATTTCAGATTCTACTCTACGCATTCATTCATGGCTTTGATGTTGGGCACTTCTATGTGCTGCTATTACTTCTTTTTTTATTTTGGGAAATGTCAGCTTTAGACATTTTGAAGAATTTCAGTTTTTCTCGTGTGAATTTTTGACTTAAATCTCCGAGAACATTTCATACATTAGCCGGCTTTAATGTCAAAGAAGTAATCAAGTTTTTCCTGAGATATTCTTAGAGATTCATGTTAGAAATGTTTCTCTCTTTCTCATAAATGTATGATTTGTAAAATTAGCGGAAAAAACGTGGTTAATTGGAGTAAAGTGAAGAATTAAGAGGAAAATATCACACACTTTGGAGATTTGTTCCTCAAAATGTTTCACTTTACTCCAATTCACCAACTTTTTATTCAAATTTTACAACTTAAGTCTTGGAAATGTTCAGTTTGTTCTCTGGATATGACTCCCCATGTCCCTAAAAACTGTCGTACAACTATGATATGGTTAAAAAACAGACCATGGAAGTAAATTGAACTCGATTTCCAAAGCCTTCTCCCCAGAGTACAGAAGTCTCTCACCTCTCTGAGGATCTGCACACCTCCATGTCGCTGGTGGAGGTGACCTCGTTGCAGGCGATGTGGGGCTGCAGACAGGCTTCAGTCACCTCCATCTCCTCCTCCTCAGCCGGGGGAATCTCCACCTTGTGTTTGTGTGTCTCGCGGTCTTCCTTCTTCTCTTTAACGTCTCTCTCCTCTGAAGGAGGCGTTGAGGTGCTGACAGGAGACCCTCCGCTGGTTCTCCTTCTGGGTCGGAGCCATCGCGGTTTCATCGTTTCTCCGTCCAGCTCCGTGTCGCTGCTCTCCGCCTGCTCCGTGCCCCCGGCCTTCTTCAACACCTTCCTCTTCTTCAGCTTCCTCACTCGCTTCCCGCTCCTCGACTCAGGAGGAGAGGTGGGCAGATGAACAGCTGAGGGAGGCTCGAAGGTGTGTGAAGAAGCGGCAGAATCGGCGACGCTCCCGACCTCGGAGCTCCGCCTGCTGACGGAGAGCAGCTTGATGGAGGCTTTGGAGTCGAGGCAGCTTCTCGATGCCTGCGTGGCTCGCTCCATGGTCTCCACCAGCTCTGATAAGCTCTCTTTAGAGTCTGCTGGGTCGTTGAAGATCTCCCAGTTCTGGTCTGTGTTCGTCGAGTAACGCTCAGGGGACGGCAGGAAGTTAGGGGTGTGATCTGCAAGAGATTCAGATGCAAGGGAATCAGAACACTGCACACCGTGTCTTTAATCTGCCTTTCACCAGGACATTGCTATTTATTTGAACACATAATTGATACAAACTGTCCTACTTTGCATTAAAACGGTTTCGATGTCATACAATATGATCAAAGTCAAGTCCCTTAAACTTAGCATGTTATCCGGAGTCATTTGTTTATTCTTTTCTCCCCTTAAAGGTCCCATGTCATGGCCATTTCTACTGATCATAATTCCATTGTTGAGGTCTACTACAATAGATTTACATTGTTCAATGTTCCAAACTCACATTGGTTTCTCATACAGCATCTCTGTATACAGTAGTATGTGTATTCACTCTCTGTCCCACACGGCTCGTCTGCGACACACACACACACACACACACACACACACACACACACACACACACACACACACACACACACACACACACACACACACAAACACACACACACACAGTGTAGTGTGGTAACTTCCTGTCTCTCCGCAGCATCATCAACGGCTTCGCTCTGCCTCTGAAGGAAGAACACAAGATGTTCCTGATCCGCGTGCTGCTGCCGCTTCACAAAGTCAAGTCTCTGAGCGTCTACCACCCTCAGGTCTGACTCACAGCTCACTATCACTGGATGGAGCCTGAACGCATCACAATGTAACTCCATGCAACCTGCCTAGCAACAGACCGCTGAAAGCCCACATCGACCAATCACAACCATTTATTCAAATACACCTTTTGAAATATAAATGAAATGTATTGTGTAACCGTGACGTACCTGTGTGTCTGCAGCTCGCCTACTGCGTGGTTCAATTCCTGGAGAAGGAGAGCAGCCTGACCGAATCTGTGAGTAAGACATGAGTCAGCATTATGAGTCCTGAAGACATGAGTCAGCATTATGAGTCCTGAAGACATGAGTCAGCATTATGAGTCCTCAAACATGACATGAGTCAGCATTATGAGTCCTGAAGACATGAGTCAGCATTATGAGTCCTGAAGACCTGAGTCAGCATTATGAGTCCTGAAGACCTGAGTCAGCATTATGAGT